TTAAGACATCCAAGCATCTGATCCCCATGAAGAAAAGAATTGAAGCCCGTGAGAAGATCATCCTTTACCATTTCCCAATTAGATTGGAAAAAAAGAGGAGTGAAGCCGTTAGGACCTGGAGCTTTGAAGGAACCAATACCACTAATGGATTGGTGCAATTCCTCAACTGAACCATCCTTAAGCAGCTCAGTATTCATCTTCGGAAAAACTTTAGGAGAGATCATTTGCTAAAAATCATCATTATTTACCACCGGAGAGGAATAAAAAGGGTTTTGAAAATAATCCTCTGTCACTCTACGAATATCATCCTTGGAGTCCCACCATTGATGCTCAAAATCTTTTAAACTTATAATTTCATTCTTCCGCCTTTTAATCATAGTCTTGCGATGAAAAAATTTGGTGTTCTTATCACCATGGTTGAGCCAAGCAATTCTCAATTTTTGTTTCCAAAATAGTTCCTCATCCTGCTAGGCAAGCTTAAGTTTATGTTCCAACTGAGAGCATTCCTCTTTATCAAAACCCATGAAAGTGGTCTTTAAAATGGACGAGTTTATCTTAAAAAACTTTGATCCTCTTCTGGGCATTATCACATTTACCTCTCTTCCAAGATTTCAGAGCGGATTGGCAGTGAGACAGCTGTTGATAAATGCCAGACAAAGGAGAACCTGAACCAGAGAAATCCCAAGCTGTTTGAATGGTGGGTTTGAAATTAAAGTCCTTAATCCATCTCGCATCAAAATGAAAATTTCGCTTATTATGGATAAACGAATCATTCAAACAGAGAAGAAGAGCTCTGTGATCAGAACCCTGCACAGTTAAATTATGAAGCATACACCGTGGAAAACTCTGAAGCTAATCCAGGGAACACAAAGCACGGTCCAGTTTGGCCATAACATGACTATGATCATCCTGATTATTACTCCAAGTGAAGGGAAAACCTTTGAACCGAAGATCAGTTAGATCGCAATCAGAAAGAAAATATTTGAAATCCTGTAACATGCAACCCTTCTTGGAAGGCCCACCCTTTTTTTTCATCTTTGTGAAGGAGAGCATTGAAATCCCCAACCAAAACCCAACGCGGACCTAGCTGAAATTTCAAACTGTGAATATAACGCCATTGAAGAGCTCGTTCTATCTCAGTAGTTGAACCATAAACCCCAGTAAAGAACTAAGGGGCTACACCTCGGCCACCAATCACTTCGCAAGTAATTTGAAATTCTGAAAAATCGACAATAGAAACCTTCCACTCAGGAGAGAAAAGCAAAGCCAACCCACCAGCCCTACCTGAAGATGGAACCTCAAACAAATCATAAGAGCCCAACCAATTTCATACTTGTTCCACCCGAGGGCCATTATTCTTCGTTTCTGACAGGAAAATCAACGAAGAGGAATGGAGGTGAACCGACCTCTTCAACTAGAAAACTGTTAGGGGGTTCCCCAAACCCTGACAATTTCACACCAGAACCCTCATTGAGGGGTTTGGGGCCATGTAAGGCTGGCTACCACTACTGAATTGGACAGAGAGGGAAGAACATCACCTTGGTGAGCCGTACATATGTCCAGAAGATGCTCCACCTTGAACTTCTTTGAACCACCGGAGGGGAAGAAGCATCAATCAACACCTTTCTTTTCTGGACCAGGGGAGACAAAGCGGAGGAAACGTTACCTGGGTTTCAAGCTCGCCGTTTCCATAAACGGGAAATAGATGGAGGAGGAGAACTTGGAGATGAAGACTAAACCGGCCGAGAGACTAAAACGTGAGGAGGGTGCAGGCCATCTGAGAGAGAAGAGGGTTGCATCATGTGGGGATAAGAAGAAGGCTGGGCCATATTAGAAGCCCCAAAAACCGAGTTGTCTTGGGACAAATAAGGTTCAGAACCCAACGGGCCCAACAGGGTAGGGCTCAGAGAGAGTGGGCCAGCCCGATTAGAAGATGAAAAAATTAACTCCTGGTCTAAAGGAAATGGGCTACCAAACAAAACCTAGGTAGAGGAATGACCCATTTCATAAATTATAGGTTGAGGAACCAAACTAGAAGGTTTAGAGATGCTGCACGGAAACCGAAGAGGGTTGGTGACATGGGAAAGAAAGTTTGTATTAGGACCGCAAAAAACCTGACATGGAGGTGTCCTATCCACATAGGATAAGGATGGAAGAACCACGTGGCAGACCCCGTCGATCCTGCTGTTGGAAACGCCAGTCACCAGACGAATATTGGTTATTGAATGGGAGCTCTGAGAGGATTCACTCTGTGAGAGATCGTTTAAAAAATTCTTCTGGAGGCGTCCTGACGAACCAGTAGCCTTAAGAGCTGTAATTCCAGGGGTAGAGGATTAGGCGGGTCCCTTAATCAAGGAAAGCGCACTTCATCGATGCCAAACAGACCTTTGTCAATTGAACCTGCCGGACGCCATTGACAGGAAACAGAAGCATGACCCATCATTCCACAACAAAAACAAAGAGAGGGAAGCCGTTTATTCTCATAAGGTGCCCAGATCCACTTATTAACATTCCAAAGCTTTATTCCCGATGAAAGGGTTTGGTGGTAATAACACCAACTTTGATACGGAGGTAACGCTCGTCCTTGAGAGCTTGATCGTGAACCTCCACTCGTTCACAAGAAGGAAAGGTGGAACCAACTGTCCACGCCACAGCCTCAGTCGATTGATTCAAAGGAACTGTAACAACCCTAATCTAAAAAGGAACAACCTTAATCCAACGGTGGAGAGAAAGAAGAGATCCCTCAAAACTCCACGGCTGATTATGTAGGATACGCTCTCGATCTGCCGTACTAGGGAGAAGGAACTGGAACTTATGATCCCCCACCCTGTGTATCTGAAGGCTTTCGCAAGCCCAAGCTTCACTCAACATTTTTCGTAGACTAAAAATATTCATAGCCCCAGGGGTAAGAAGATGACCGACCAGGCTGTTGTCGCACAAGCTAACCCATTCATTAGCTACCGAGTCATCAAAGACAACACCTATCGCCTCCTCTTCAGAGAGTTAGAAAGACAGAAGTTGGGAGACCAAATCCTCCGCCATGGGCATGGAGCTCAATGGAAAGAAAGATGAAACCAAGCTTCAAAACTCTTCATAAACCAGAGAGAAAGAAAACCCTCTAGCGCAGCTAATGGCCTGTTTGGTTTGTGTTTTGTAGTGTTTTGTTTTGTTCCCAAAGTGCTACAGTAGCACTATTGAGGCCCAAAACATGTTTGGCATAGACATGTGTTGCTTTCAACAGTGTCAGAACACTTTCAAAATATGGGCCAAAAGTTGGAACAACAAATTGGTGTTTTGGCTTGTTCCAAAAATTGACCGGCCCAGTTTGCACTATAGCGGAGGCAACATATTTTACACTGTAGCGGGACAAAAATAATTTTTTTAGGGTAAATCATTTCAGCCTCCTAATCGCCTCCATCTCTATTCTCATTCTCAACTCTGAACTTGCCCTAATTTCTGAAAAAAAAAACTCTGAACTTGCCCTTTCTCTTTCCCTGTAACTGCAAACTATAAAATTTACAAGAATCAGAAGTTCAAAACCCGCCTCCATCGCTATTCCCGTTCTCAATTATGAAGTTGCCCCCTCTCTCTCTTTGCAACTGCAAACTACAAAATCTACAAGAATCAGAAGTTCAAAACCCATATATTTCAGATTTGTAAAGTTGAAAACCCATATCGGCATATCATTTCAGATTGTTTAAAAAATCAAAACCCATATCTTTCAGTTTCCATCGCCTACTGTTCTAGTTCTGGTTCACCGTTCGCAAGCTTCAGCCGCTGTCTCTCAGCTCTCAGGCTTGCCCCCCCCTCTCTATGCAACTGCTAACTTGTGTGTATGGGTTTTGTTTTAATTTTTTTTTTTAAATCAACTAATCATGCTCAGTAATTCTTGTTTTGCAAACTAAATTGTATTTGGTGAAATTTTTTATGATCTTTTTATAATCAAGCTCTACTCTCGTTCTCTACTCTGAAGTTGCCCTCTCTCTATCTGCAACTGCAAACTACAAAATCTACAAGAATCAGAAGTTCAAAACCCATATATTTCAGTTTATATATCTGTCTGTAAGAATAAAAAGTTCAAAACCTATTACCTATATCAAAATCCATATGGGCATATCATTTCAGATTGTTCAAAAAATCAAAACCCATATCTTTAAATTTAGGGATATTTTCAGAAGGTAAAAAATGGTACCAAAAATGTTCTACTATATTTCTGTTCCAAAATTCTTACCCTAAATTTTCGTCGCCAAACATATTTTGTTCTTATTTCAAAATACCATATTACAAAATACTTATTCTGTTATAAATTAAAACAAAACACTACAAAACATAACGCATACCAAATAGACTCTAAGAAAGTATGAGTAAGATAATTTCATAGTAGAATGAAAACGTGAAATGTTTAATCAACTTGTCAATTTTAGTCTGTGCGAAAGTTATCTACTCAAATCCAAATCATTTTTTTTTTTTTCTTCTTATTTTTGTAATTTGTGGTGGGTTGTCGGAAGTCCAAACCTTATCTAAAAGTATTAATTGTAGAACAGCCATATTTTGATATTCAAGAAGGTTTGCTGTGTCAACTTTCAACCGCCCCGTTAATTCCATGCACAGTAACGACTATCTCTTATTGTCCCAATTTCCTAAATATAATATAGGTACATATTGTGCCATGTATGATGCAAAAGTCCAAAGGATTATCAGATTGACAGTTCCCAAAGACCCATTCTTAATTTTCTGGAGTTCAAAGTAAAAGACCTATCAAAATTTAGTCATGCGTGATGCAAAACTCCAGTCAACAAAGGACAATCAGATTAACAATTCCCAAGGCCCATTCTTAATTTTCTCGAGTTCAAAGTAAAAGACCTTTCAAAAAGTATACGACTCATTTTATTTTTCGTTGAATTTTCAACATATTTCTTGCGAAACACTCGTATAAAAGTATACGACTCATTTTATATTCATATATATATATATATATATATATATATATATAGAGGAACTTCATGCACTCAAACCTAGTTAAAAATTAATCATTAAAAAGCAATCTAGCGATAGATTCACCCATGGAAGTTTCTTTGCTATACACATCTCTCTCTGTTCTCCTCCTTGTCCTAGCTTTCAATTTCTTCTCACAAACAAGAACTCGACGCCGAAACTTCCCGCCGAGCCCACCGGCTCTTCCGGTCATAGGTCATCTCCACCTGCTAAAACAACCACTCCACCGAACCTTACTCAGCCTGTCCCAAAAATACGGTTCCATCTTCTCCCTCCAGTTCGGGACTCGCCTGATTGTGGTGGTGTCATCACCGTCCGCCGTGGAGGAATGCTTCACCAAAAACGATGTCGTCTTCGCCAACCGCCCAACCTCAATGATAGGCAAGTACATTGGCTACAACAACACTACCATTGTCGCAGCCCCCTACGGCGACCACTGGCGCAACCTCCGCCGCCTCAGCGCTCTCGAGATCTTCTCAACCACTCGACTCAACGCCTTTCTATCCATTCGAAGGGACGAAATCAAGCTTTTGCTGCGCAGACTGTACCAAAACTCATCTGAGGATTTCGCAAAAGTTGAGCTGAAATCAAAGCTTACGGAGCTGACTTTTAATATCATGATGAGGATGATTGCAGGGAAGCGGTTTTACGGCGAAGACGTGGCGGACCACGAGGAGGCGAAGAAGTTCCGGGATATGATAAAACAGTTGTTCCAGTACAGTGGTGTATCGAATCCCGGAGATTTCTTGCCTTTTTTAAGATGGATTGATTATAAGAACGTCGAAAAGAATTTGGCGGGAATTAGTAAGAAGATGGATGCGTTTTTGCAAGGTCTGATTGATGAGCATCGACTCAATCAGAGTAAAAATACCATGATTGACCACTTGCTTTCTTTGCAAGAATCACAGCCCGAATACTACACAGATCAGCTCATCAAAGGGCTTATAATGGTTAGTACATATTCTAAATTAAACAAACATTTTATATATTTTTCCATTTGAAAATAATTTTAGTAACTGTAACATGCAGGTATTGTTAACTGCGGGCACAGACACATCGTCGGTGACAACAGAATGGACAATGTCCCTTCTGCTTAACCATCCTGAGGTGTTGAAAAAGGCAAGAGCGGAGTTGGACATTCATGTAGGTCAAGATCGTTTAATCGATGAAGCAGATCTCTCCAAATTGCATTACCTTCAGAGCATCATTTCAGAATCCTTCCGACTGTGTCCAGCTGTACCACTTTTGGTACCACACATGTGTTCCGATGATTGTACAGTCGGTGGATATGATGTTCCACGGGGCACAACTTTATTGGTTAACGCATGGGCTATCCACAGAGACCCTAACGTTTGGGATGACCCTACAAGCTTTAAGCCAGAAAGGTTCGAAGGAGGCCGGGAAGTTGAGGCACACAAGTTGATGCCATTTGGGATGGGGAGGAGGTCCTGTCCTGGGGCTGGGCTGGCCCAACGTGTGCTGGGCCTGACTTTGGGCTCAATGATTCAGTGCTTTGAGTGGGAAAGGGTCAGTGAGAAGCAAGTGGATATGGCTGAAGGGAGAGGGAGTATCTTGCCCAAAGCTGAGCCACTGGAGGCCATGTGTAAAGCACGTGACATTATGAAGAAGGTGGTTTAATTTTGAAGCACCAAATAGTCTTTGATCAAGCTACTATTGTTACATATATATATATATATTTCAAGTTTTGTGCTTGTTTAAATCTGCATTTTTACTTTTCTTCAACATTTATTTTTCCTTAGTTAATATTTTGTTATTGTACTAGTTTTAATAAGGTTTGGTTTGAGAAATAAGATTACAGTGTGACAATTTCTTTATTTGTTGCAGTTAATGGTCAATAAATAAGGTCAACATTTTTTTTCTTTTATTTTTTCATCTTTTCTCTCGTGTCCAAGTCAGATTAAAACTGATTTCGGAATAGAAAATTATTGTATTGTATTTCTTATTTACAACAAGTGAGTGTTGCAGAACTGGCATGCATGGATGAGAAATCGGTCCAAATGATGCTTGAAATATTTAAATATTCTCTACTAATATTTTGTTTTTGGCATCCACCAAGCCCATCTTTGTTGTCTCATCTTCTTCTAAATTTTCAATAATTAAGTTACTTTAATTCAGTGTTTAATTCTGATCTGAATTTTCAATAACAAATAAATGATTAACATCAATGTACAACCCTACAATGATTTAACCGATCTTGTTTTGATTGGGCCTCCAGGAGAGATGATGGCATGACAAATATTTATTCATTTACTTTGTCTTGTCAATCAATTAATTTTCACATCGGACTTGGTGGTACTTGAAAAATAAGTTTATATAACATTACTTTTAATATATTATTATAAATTAGTAATGAAATCAATAATTTATTTCACGAGATATATATTATACATATATATATTTTAGAATTTCAAGCAAATTGTGTGTGTGTGTATAGATATATATATATGTAAATATATACAGTGGGCTTCAGCCCATGAAAACAAGGCCGAAAGGGCCGAAAAGAAAACATAGGAAACCTGGCACAAAAGGCCCAACCCAAGCAACTGAAAAAATTGCCATTTTGAGCCATTGCTGTCGATATTACCCCGTTTGGCAATCTCCTTCAAGGCATTAGGGTAACGCATTACTTTTAGTATCTAGGAAGCACAAAAAATTGACTTTTTAATCGAGCGACTACTGTTACATGTAGAGATATATACATATATATTTCAAGTTTTGTAGTTGTTTAAATATGCATTTTTACTGTACGTTTCTTAAACATTTGTTTTTCCTTTGTTAATATTTTGTTATTGTACTAGTTTTAATAAGGATTGGTTTGAGAAATAAGATGACAGCGTGACAATTTCTTTCTTTGTTGCAGTTAATGTCAATAAAGATTTTAAGGTCAACATTTTATTTTATTTTATTTTATTTTTTTTCGTCTTTTCTCTCGTGTCCAAGTCAGATTAAAACATTGAGTAGAAGATTGTTGTATTGTATTCTCTTATTTAAAACAAGTTAAATATTTAAATACTGTCTCCTAATATTTTGTTTTTGGCATCCACCAAGCCAATCTTTGTTGTCTCATCCTCTTCTAAATTTTCTATTATTAAGGTCCTGTGTAATTCAGTGTTTAATTCTGAATCTCTTCGAAATTTTCAACAACAAATAAATAATTAACATCAATGCACAACCCTACAATGATTAAACCAACAAATAAATAATTAACATCAATGCACAACCCTACAATGATTTAACCGCTCTTGTTCCGATTGGGCCTCCAAGAGACATGATGGCATGACATAAAATATATATACATTTAAAATATACAATCATTACGTCAAACACCTCAACTGGAAATATTTATTTATTTATGTTTTCTTGTCAATTAATTTTCACATCGGTCGGTACTTGAAAAATAAGTTTATATAACAATACTTTTTAATATATTATTATAAATTAGTAATGAAATCAATAATTTATTTCACTATATATATATATATATATATCTTAGAATTTCAATCAAATTGTATATATGTGTGTGTGTGTAAATAGATACAGTGGGCTTCAGCCCATGAAAACAAGGCCCAAAGGGCCAAAAAGAAAACATAGGAAACCTGGCACAAAAGGCCCAACCCAATCAACTGAAAATTTTGACTTTTTTAGCCATTGCTGTCAATATTACCCTGTTTGGCTATCTCCTTCGAAGCATCAGGCATTACTTAGTGTTTAGGAAGCACACATACTTATACACCGGCCCAAAAAAAAAATATATAAGTAATTTTAGTCCAGCCTAAAAAAAAAAAATGTAATATCTCTCGAAATTAAATTTTAATTTCTAACATGTTTCCGATATTTCTCATAAATTTGAACTTAACCATCTCGAGGTAGTAAAGAAGACAAAAATTGAGTTAGACAATCATATTGACCAAGATCGCTTGATGAATAAGTAATATCTCTCGAAACTAAATTAACTTTACAATATCATTTTAGAAACCTTTCGTTCATGTCCGGTTGCACCACTTTTAATACCGCGTCATTTCCTCGGATGATCGTACGGTTGTTGGATACCATGTGTCACGTGACATAATGCATGGGCCATTCACAGGGACCTTATTATTTGTAATTTGGGATGGGTTGGAGGTCTTGTACTTGTATTGGGCTGGCCCAATGTGTGGTAGGCTTGAATTTTGAATGGTTATCCCTTCGATAAAAATAAAATAAAATCGAGTAGTCTCCTAAGTTCAATACTGATATTGTCAAATTAATACTAATTTTTTAATAAATAAGGAACAAACAGTCATATGGTATTCCTTTTTACCTTATCTGTGTAGATCAGTTGATGTGAATATTGTTGGGAAACGTGCAATATTTAAAAACTTTTCTAGGGATTTTAAATTTATAGATCTTGATTCATCACATAGAGACAAGTTTTATGCAAAAATAAAACATGATGTATCATTCAATTAAAAGATTGAATACTTACATCAAGGTTTGAGTAAACCTTACATCTTTCCTCTAAAGTGAATGTTCTCACTTATTGTAGATCCCTTTTGCTAGACACCTTTTCCATGGATCTCCATCTTCTTGGTAATAGTCTTGCCTTTAGAAATCACTTATAAGCCTCTATGAATGACCTTGGAAAATTAGGCTTGTGGGAGCCTCCATTAGATGAGAACACTAACCCTAATTTTCTAGAGAGAGAAAATTTATTCCTTTTTCCTTTTTCCAAAAATCACCCACAAAATATACATAAACCATGTATATTTATAGACAACATAAAAATAAAGAAAAGGAAATAACAAATCCTTCTCAATCTCTAATTCATATGTCTCAAATCTAATATGATTCCAATATCAAGTTGGGCTATGAGTGAAAATCCATTGGGCCTATTATTTTATTGGCTACAATGAATTAATAATTGGCCCGGTCCATGGACCCAATTCAATTAATTCATAAATTAATTTCTACTCCATTAAAAGAAATTAATTGAACTCCAATTAAATAATAAATAACATCTAAGTCAATATTGCACTTTGACACCTCTATTCTTAATTAGTTATCGGATAAATAAAGCCATCAATCCGACTACTTAATTAATATATTTATTTTGCTACCATTGATTATTTCTGGCTCGATCACAATAAAACATTTGTTTGACAAAAATAATAATTTAAATAAATAAATATATAATAAATCATTTTGTCTAAAAACACACGAAGGCCTTCGAATTTACTTTGTGATCAACCATAATCAATACAAAATAAATACAAGTAACAATGATGCAAATATTGAAAATATAACCCTCTAACTATTAATTACATAACTACCCAAAGTGTCGGTCTAAGGATCCCGAAAAATCCGCCGAACAAATCAAAGTAATTATTAATTAAAAAAAGAATCTATAATTTTCTCATGCTTAAGAGTCAAGTGTCATGACGGTGATAGGGAGCAATTGCATACGACGGCTCTCGCAATATATCTCAACCTAATGCGGATCCAGTTCAAATCTTAATTAATTATGAGTCCATTCATAATTACCGATTATGAACCGTTTATGATTACTATTTATATATCATGCATTGATTGCCATCACATACATATATAAATATCTCTTGTAATCAAATGGACACTATCAATTCTATAATGAATCGAAATATAATACATTGAATTCACCAATTGTATAAAGCATAAATATTTCAGAAACGTTAGGAACATATGTCACTTTAATCCAAACAGGAATTTGCTATGCCAGTGTATATAAATCCCAACAGCTCCCATTTGCCCTCATAGCCAATTCAAATTGCACCTAACTCCAATGTTATCCAGATGATGATCAAAATTGTTAATCAATAACACCTTTGTTAATGGATCAACAAAGTTGTGTTCCAATGCAATGTTCTAGCCACGAGTACATTTTCTTACCGGACAATATCATGTAAAACATGATACTTCCTCTCAGTGTATCTTGTTCCTGTATGGAACATTGGGTCATTGGTTTGAACTACTTCTACACTATTGTCGCAATATAGCTCGATAGGCAGGCTAGTATGCTCCACAACCTCTAAATCAGTGAGATCAAACCAATATGCTTCCTTTGCCGCCTTTAAGGCTGCAATATATTCCACCTGCAGGTTTGAGTCAGCAGTTGAAATCTACTTAACAATCTATCAACTGATTTCCCTTTCATTAAGTGAACATACACTAAGTTATGAACCTCATAGTATTTACTTCTGATTGAAAATCAGAATTAGCATACCTGACTAGGACCATATCATCACATCCATAAATGAGTATGATATCATTGGTTCTCCTTAGGTACTTAATGATATTTTTCACAACAGACCAGTTATCAAGTCCAGAATTGGACTGATATCTACTGACTATCCCTACTATGTAGTGGATGTCCTGTTTGGTATAGACCATGGCATATATGAGACTCCCATATGCCAAAGCATATAGTTCCAGTCTCATTTGCTCAATCTCCTCTGCTAGTCTTGGAAAACTACTTACTAGAGAGAGCAATCCATACAAATAAAGCAATAACTCATTCTTTGAGTTATACATACCAAACCTGGTCAAAACTTTATCAATGTAGGATTATTAAGATAAGCCTATTTTCCTTTTAACCTGATCTTGCAAAAGCTTGATCCTAGGAATATAGCTTACATCTTGAAAATCCTTCATTTAAAAGTAATTGAACAACTACCTCTTTATTAATGACAAAACTTCCACATCATTCTAAATGAGTAGGATGTCATCAATATATATAGAATCAGAAAAATAATGACATTCCCTTGTACACTCATGATTTATTCACTAAGAAATCTTCTGGTATCTTTTTGTAGATTAACTTGCCTTCCATAGGAATCACCCTACTAGAAA